TCTTCTCCAGGCCAGGATTGTTTGTCCTTCGGCCAGTCTGTCCATGCTCTCTGTGACGTGTCCCAGGCTGCCCTGCTGACTCCTCCCTCTCCGTGTCTCAGAGCCGAAGCCGGACTCCTGCCCGGGGGGCTCCACGGCGTGCCGGCGGGGGGGCTGCGTGCGGGCGGAGCAGGTCTGCGATGGGACGGACGACTGCGGGGACGGCAGTGACGAGAGCGAGGGGCTCTGCGGTGAGAGGCGGGGGCTCTTGGGCGCCGGGGGGGGGCGCGGTCGGCGCTGCACAGCTCTGTGTGACTCTGCCCGGTGCCTCGCTCTGCAGGCCACTACAGGAAGTGCGACTTCGAGAGCGGCACCTGCGAATGGTCACAGGGCGAGGAGTCGAATCTGTCCTGGAGCCGGATCAATCAGACTCAGACGTATGTGACCTTTGACCCGCAGGCTGGCCCCGGGAGGGATCACACACTGAACATGGCTGCGGGTATGAGAGTGCACAAAACAGTTAAAACTACGACGTCTGGGGTCCTGCTTGGCCTTTCTTTAACACCTCCTCGTTTGAATAGGTTTGGGACTGATGTGGTTTCTGGTTCATAGCTCGAGTGGTCCATCTAGAGAAGGCGGAGAGCTGATGGGGTCCCTGTTCAGAGCTTTGCAGCCAGGGATATTAACTACTTTCTGTTTTGAACATACAGTAGATGTTTGTGTTATAGCCCCGTTTCATTGAGCCCCAGAGGTTTTAAGATTAGCCCGAATGGTTTTATTTCTCTGAATTTTAACATAAGGGAACCACCACCATAGTTCGCTGTATGGTGAGCAAAGCAGGTGCTCTGCTGTCGTGCCTCGTAGCTTCTGTGGGCCGTGATTGTCACAAGCACTCCCAGTCTTCTCTACTAGTGATAATCTTCACACATGACACACCCTCTCCTCTTCTGCAGGGCACTTCCTGTACATCAGCAGCCCAATGAGTGATGGCGCTCATTGGACACACCTGCATAGCCCAGTCCTGGAGCCCACCAATAGCACGCATCCCTGCACGGTATGCCTGCCTGTGATTGGGTCTTGTGATTGTGTGGCTGCCTGTGATTGGTCTTGGACTCATGGAGTGGAAGTTGTTGCTTTATTTCCAGTTATTAACAGTCATCACGTCTGGTCCTGTCTTATCTCTCCCCCTCCATCTGTACCACCCCTCTTTCTCTCCCTGCAGCTTTGTCCTCCCTGTTTTCCTCACCTCTCTCCCTCTTTCTGTCTTTTGGTTCCTGGTCTTTTCTCCTTGTCCCGTCTCTCTCCTCTGTCTCTGCCACCTCTCTTTCACCTCTGTCCTCTCCTGCCGTCTCTCTCACTCCGTCTCCTTTTGCTCCTCCTGCAGTTGGTGCTGTACGCCCACCTTTTTGGGCCCCGTGTCGGGGTGCTGTCTGTGCTGATCTTAACCCCTAAGAGCCTGAAGCCTGTGTGGCACAAGGATGGTAACCATGGTGACCTCTGGTTCAAAGGTCAGGTGGACATTGTCGTCAACAGCACCTTCCAGGTATTGAGAGTGAGAGGTTGTGTGTGAGATTTTAAACTCTTGCTGGCTGAGTCTAGAGTCTAGGGTATATACTCAGGAAAGCTAACTGCAAAGGAGTGGTTAAAAGTGAGCAATTTCGACAGCCATGTGCTATTGAGAAAATGACTGAATAACAAACATTTGTAATGAATAACTCTCGTTCATTTATTATACTTAATAAATTAGTTTAGAATCTTGCTGGAGGGCCAGTCTCCCAGTGACTCATGAGTTTGAGAACAGGAGGGAGGTTACAGACAACTGAGGCAGTTTGGACCATCTAGATCAAGGGGTTCCTGGTGGCTATTCAAGGATCTCCTCCAGCTGTCTCATGAGTGATTCCAGACAGCAGCTTCAGCATTGTAGTTGAACACCTTCTTCCAGACCTCCGCAACCCTATAGAAGTGCCTCTCGTTTACAGTTCTAAATAGTCCTGCCCTGTTACAGTCCTGTGGTTTCCATCTTCTGATTTGTGTTTCACTGGTATTGTAATTGAGCACATAAGCAAGCCACTCAAGCAATTGTGTATCTAACGAATTCAGCTCTTTGTGAT